CAATATCTTTATTGTTATCTTATCTCAAAACTACAGTAAAAACCTGATCATTTGAAATTGGACTTTCAAAATAAAAACAATTTTTTAATTTTCTGAGGATAATTTTTTTCTCACTTTTTTCCTTGAAGCCACAAACGTTTCTGACGATTTTATTTTTACAGATGAAAAATAAATCATTAAACTCTTGAATGAGAAGACGACTTTTAGACTCAAGGTATGACTGTAAATAGTCCAATGAACATGAGCTCAGCTATTGTACCGTGTAAAGAGACCCATTTCACTTAACAATTGATTTAATAACTTACTTGTAAAACTTTTTTCTTTGTAATAACATTAAATATACTTGAGTACTACTTTCATGTCATCTTCCTGGTTCTCTTTGTTAATACAATGTTTTTGAAATCGATTTAAGATTTATTTCTAATTCATTTCTAATTACCCTTTAATTTTTTATTAACACTCCCTTTAAAGGGGCTGTAAGCACAATTTCAATTGACCATTCATGCAAATATATGTGGCAATGCCCGATTTGCAAAGGTACTTTTAAAAGCTTTTTCTGATCAAGTAAAAGTTAGAATTTTTTGGTTATATAAACTGTTTGTTTTCATTTTTGGTTTCTCTGCTAGAGGGACTTGCGCATTTCTTGCATAAGAAAGATTGGAGAAATTATCAGAATTAAACACTTTTCGAGACAGAAAAAGTTTTTTCCACTTTCCAATCAAATTAAAGTTTTAATGGTACCATTGTAAATCGGGCATTGCCATTTTTGCATGGATGGTCACTTTAAGATTTTTTTTAGACTGTTATAAATAAATTCGATATCGATCGCTACCAATTTTTGCATTATCATACGAGCGGGGGAAGGCAGGCGGCCATGAGCCACTACTGTTTCCCCTTCCGTGCCACATATTAGCTTTTTTCTCTTCCGGCAGCCATGAGCCACCATTATTTCCCCTTCCGTACCACCACATTTGACTCTTCCGGGCAAAACCACTTTTTTAAATGGTATATTTAGGGCTTTAAAGTTTGATTTTAAAAAATCCAGCCGCGTCACTCAAAAAAGCACAACTCAAACCATTTTTTCAAGTCTACTTAAGATTAATATTTTGTGTGTTGAATTCTTAAACTGTTTTACAATGAAATTTTTAACAAATTTGACTGAGTATTGCATCTTGAAATATCACAAAGTTGGTTAATGAGTGATTTTTAGATGGATTTAGTAAAATGAGTCAGTAATTGAATAATCATTAGACTTTGTGATAACGGCCGCCATGAGCCTCCCAGATTTTCTATGCAGCACCGAGCCTCCGCATACAGAACAACTTTAAAGGAAGATATTAAAAAAACACATTATAAAATGAGTTCGATTTGATTTGTTAAAATCTTTGATTTGAGCGATACCTTTTTTTGAAATAAATTGTTTATGTTTAGATAGATCTATAATGCAAAATTATTGTTTTCTAGAAAAATGTAAATTAAAAGAAATTCAACAAAAAAGGTATTTCTTAAATTTAAGATTTTATCAAATTTTATAATTTGTTTTCTTTAATTGCTCCATTTTACATACAACACTTTTAAAGTTTTAGTAAACAATTTTTATTGCATATGCAAAGCAAATCTGGGAGGCTCAGGGCGACCTTGGTTTCCCTCCCTATTTATACAGTCCTACTCCTTATCACAAATAACCGGAATTAATTGACAATTTATCAGACGACTTTACAATCTTCTTTGATCTTTGAAGACTATTAGTTGTCAATCTAAGCATACAAATATGATTGATGAAACGATAATCAAAAAATATTCCTACAGTCCTGCAACTTTTATGTTTGCAAAATCACAAATTTTTGCTTTTATTGCGCTACATTTTTGCGCGAAAAAAATAGCACTTGGGGCAATTATTTGCAAACTTCATTTCACGCAAAATTGCGTTTTTCCGCTTTTGCGTTATTTTGTTTTGCGGAACAAATCCCAGTAAAAGGTTTAATAAATGTATAAATTAGTTATCTATGAGATTGCACTGTTTTACATATAATTGTCATGCTTAAAAAGGAACAGATTACTTGCCTCTAAATCTCTTCTGCAACCTAAAGTATGATGGCACACTGCAAATCAAGATGTGTGCGATCTCACACAAAAGTCAAGCAGTATTTTGCTAATTACTCATTTTAAACTAAGAAAGAAACAGACGCGTAACATTTTTAAAATGTGTATATCCAGGACTTCAAAAAAGTATCAATGAGTTGACGGGGTCAAACCAAAAGCCAAAGCGTTGTGACACTTTAAATTGAGGCTATATAAAAATTAATGACTAAGTTTTAGTGTTAGGCTCCAAATTATGGTGGACACCACAAGAAGTGTTTGAATAGTGTGAGATATTGGAAAACCATTTGTCTAACCATAAATGGGAAACATCCCAAACCAAGCAGTGAAAAGAATGCTATTGGCATGTGTAACGGGATCGGCCAGAGATAATGCAGCCTACAGGATCAGGATTTATAGCATTTGAAAACATAAGACAGGAGAGTTTTTCACAGAGATGTTGAAGAAATTCTCTCAAGAAAAAGACAAGGAGGGGCGGAAACAGGAATACACAGCCAGAAAACAGAGAAGAAATGAAGATCCCAGGAAATACTGCATACTGCACTGACAAGTTAGAGTATGGATACAAGCATATGCTCCAGCCAAGAGGAGCCTGGGAGAGTTCAAGAATGCAATGATCATGGGACTGTCTCACATGGAGCTGAAGAGAACATGCTTGCAGTTCATGCCTAAGGTACTGCAATATAGTGTGAATAATATGTTTTTTTAAATAAACTATTTTTTTGCATTATTGTTTATTGGTAATGTTTGAAATTAAAAAGTAGAAGTATTGTTGGGTAAATAAATAATAGTTCCTATGGTCATTTATATAACATTTTAGTGAATTAATTTTGCCTTTTTCATAAATTTAGGAAAAATTCTGTATACCCGCCCTGTAGCAACTGCGGTGTCTTATAAGGCCACTCTAAAAAACCCTAAAAAAACACATTTAAAATTTTTTTTTTTGGATTGGTTTGTCTGTAATCCAAGTTTTGATCTCATTCATGAACTAGATATTGACATTGACAGAGCAATGATCCAGTAACACAGAAAAGACAGAGAAACCAACAACATGGGGAGTCAAAATGGATACACAGAGAAGGGATCAAAAGGAGTCAAAGGGATATCCCCGTTTTTTCCTATGAAGAGATCAAAGAAGATACGGATGAATTAGACCAGCCCAAACATTGTAGATACGGAGCCAATTGTATATTAGGGCAATGTAATTGTATGGAAGAGGAATGGTAACAAGTTCCCGTCCACAGATGGTCCCAGTGTTATGCATCAAAACAGCCAGAGAGTTCTATGAAACCTGGCAAGTTTGATATAGGAGCATTTGTACCTGCTCTATTTTCAGACGAAAGAATAGGATGGAAACAAAACAGGAGTATGATGTACGAAGAAATACCAAGATTAGAAGATGCAAATGTGGAGTTGCTAAAAAATACTGAAAATTAGGGATAGCTAACCCTATTGTTCAACACTCCCCCCCCCCCCCAATTGTAATAAATATTGTAGTAAACCCCATATTTATGTATTTTTCATGTATTTCTTAGTGTCTCTGAGGTCCCATGGTTTAGTCATATTCTCTATGTATATATAAAGTCCCCTATTACAGTCTATACAGCAGGTTTTTGAAATTCGTTTTCTAGTCATATTTGTCCACTACATAGTCCCTTAATCATAGGCCTGTGCAGTCTTATGTATTTCCTGGCAGTACTCGACTTTATTTCGTCTGGCCATAATCCATAATAGTCTTTCTGATCGAAGCCCCTCTGTCATTGTTTGTGAGTAAGGGCGTATCCCTGTTTTCCTCTTATAGTCTTCAAAAGTCCTGATAGTCCACTACAATCCTTATTATATTTCTTATTGTTATTCTTCTTAGATTGTCAGGTTTTGTGTAATCTTAAATGGTATATGTATTGTAATATACTCATAAAAGTAACATATAGTTTTTAAAGGATAAATTAAGACTGACTTTCTTTATGTCCAAAAACGAGAAAATAATTAGAATTTCTATTAGAAATGATGCACGAAGCGCCAAAGAAAAATGTTGGTATTTTTTCTTAATTGAAAAAATTTTATAAAAGATGATTCACAATCACGATCATGCTTTAGCCAAGTGAGGGGGATAGAAACTCGGTTCCCCCTAGTTGCGCCACTGTAGATTACACTGGAGACGGTATTATTTAATGCTTAATAAAACACTGCGTCAATCATCTTGCTCTGAGAGACTGAAAAGGATTTTAAATGAAACCCCGCGAAAAAAATATTGTAAATAAGATTAAGGTACAAGAAAGAATTTGAGAAATATCATAAAATAGACAAATTGTGACATTGTCGATTGATAAGATAAGTAAAAAATCTGAATATATATGTAAGTTTAATAAAATAGAGTCTGCGACTGGCTGTAGGGGGGGGGCCTAGGGTGTGCATGTCTAAGGTGGGGGCCTAGGGGTACCGACCCCCCCCCCCCCACTACGCCCCTGGGTAATGGACATATTTTTTTCAAGATTGTAAAACATGGAAGAATTCCTTCGAGCATTATATCCTGTAATTTTACATGAAATCCGTAAAACGTTTTTTTCTAAAAATACTTCACTTTCTCGTAAAACAAAACAAACTCGACGTACTACACCAGTAAGTACTCGAAGTTTGAATGTTTTTGTTTGCAGTACAATTTTTTTTGTAAATTGCGTACTGCAAGCTGAAAAGGCATATCCTTTATTTTTGAATATATAAACAAATTTAGATAAATTTTCAAAGGGTTCCAAATTTTTAAATGTCTAAAAAATGTTGTTCGTATATTTTTGATTAATTTTATTATTAAATTTACAGTACTGCAGTACGATTCCTAGGTAGTGTATTGCACTATTGCGTAAAATAATTAAAGATTGTGACAGTATAATTTTAAAGATATATTTTAGTATATTTCATCGTTTCATGGAAGTAACATATTGAAAAATCTCTGGAACGTAAGTTTAAGATTTTTTAGTCATGATAATTTCTGCGTCCATAAATAGATTTCATAAATGAAGCTTCACCATGTAAATAAATAAAATTAGTAAAATTAAAATTACAATTGTTCCGATGAATATAGTTTTTAGTGGTTGAAGCTTTTTTACTTTATTATTGTTACTATAGGTCCCATTTTTTTCTCAATTAAAAAACTTTTTGCCTTGGTCCCAATTTTATTTCAATTATACTAAATCTGTTTATAAGTAATTTTTTAGTAGAAAGTTTAATTTTGATAAATGAAAAAATTGCATAGTTTGATTTAAATTTAAAAATCGCAAATTATAGTTAATATATATTATGTTGTTTTTTTTTGTAAAAAAATTGAAAATGAAAACATTCTTTTTTTTGATGAATGATTTCCTTCTTCACACTTTTTTCTTGTCCTTTATTGTCGAATGTCGAATGTCGCCCCCCTGCTAGGCAGAATTTCTGCATAAGCGGCCCTGGGCCTGAGGCCTGAAAACCGTACTGCACCATGCATGCAATTGTTGCAAATCTGATAAAGTGTCGGCTGCCAATTTTTGTTTTTATTTCTGCAAATACGAAGCAAATTTAAGTTTTAAAAATTCTAAACCATCTTAATTTATTAAGTTTTCCCTTTGAAAGAGTTTTATTAGGTGTATAGAAAAGTGTACCGGTAGAAAGCATGAATGACAGCTGTTCTATGTTCAGAAAATCCCCCAAGCTGTCGAGGCACAGCTTGTGACGCGGATTGATCATCAGCGACCGGCAAGCTGTCAACGCAGCTTCTTCAAAGCTGCCATAAGCTGTTCCAACTTCTGCGTCTAGAAATTTCAGTGTGGGTTTGGAATGGAAGCGGGAAAGGCGAGTAATGAACAAACTGCGTTTTAACAGTTTTACCATTTACTACAATATTGAACGCTTTGCGTCAAGTGACAGTTAGTATTTATAATTCTTTTATCTATTTCAAATGTTATTCTGTAGTTGTCATTACTTCATTATGCGTAAATAAGTCGTAAATGCGAAATTTAAATTTTTCAGAATTACAAATTAAGATATATTTCGAGTAAAGGTCAAAAGTCTACAATTGAATGTAAAATAAGTGGCATTATAACCCCTAGATGCCTCAACAACGGCGACTCTCTGGTTCTGGTCTGCTCTTAGAGCAGTTCCCTCAGCTGGAGGAGATACTGGAGAACGAGCAGGGAGAACATGATCAACTACTCAGCGCATGTGTAGCTCCTAAGGTAGATGGTTTACAGAGATTTCGCCTAGCAATTTAGCCCCCCTCAGCTCCCATAAAAGTTTTGCAATGCGTAGAATTTAAGTAAGTGGCGTTTAGGGGAATTCCAAAAATGTTTTTATTCTTTAACTGCATAAATGGAAAAATGAGTTTGGTAATTTCCTAGAGAACGATTTTCCCTCTCCCAACTCTCCCAACCTTTCCCCTATTTATTGACCGCTAATTTCTTAAGCAAAACTTATCATGATTTTGTTGCGTGGGGTTGTAGTACAATTTACGATACGCGCTACGGACACATCGTAAATTCTGCCGTACACAGCTGGTTTGTTTGTAATTCTCCCAATTTTCCATATCATACTTCCTTGTACTTAAATTTATCACGATAAAGCCTGATCGACGCCATTTTTGAACTTTCATTGAAGTGTGTACTGCAGATCAGTGCAGTACACACCGAATGTTTTTTCATATATTTTATTGTTCTAAGTATCTATATATATATATATATATATACTTTTGCTTGTCTGTTTGGGTGTTTGTTTGTATCCAATAAACGTATAAACGGCTGAACCGATCGGGCCCAATTTTTTTTGTGACTTCACATGTGTTAACGTAATATTTATATATTATTAAAATTTCAAAATGTTGCCTCCAACAAAATTCGATTGTCATTGAAAATCCACAAAAATTTTTACATCGTGAACATGTTTTTGTTTTCATTTTACAATGTATTCTAAGAGAAAATGTTCACAATTGAAATAGAAAAAGGGCGCAAAGCCTAGTTTTCATATGTTCAGGAATTTGTCTAAGGAGGGGGATTTTAAAAAGTGTTCTTTCGATAAATTTTACTACCTCATTCTGTCTAGTTCGCAGTGTGGTGGGAGAAATTGTCTAGCAGCTCACAGCTGTGATGGAAATATGCCACAATGCACTTTTATATCTCTAATATATATAATTCCCCCCCCCCTTTGCACTTGGCCACTAACTGGTGAATTTTGAAGGGGATGGGGGGGGGGGGGGGGGGGAGGTAAATCTTCAATCTTTCCAGCTTGGTTTTGCTAACAGTTATGGTTAAAAAACCTACATTCGACATTGAACTTAAGTTTATAACTCGCAATATTTTGATGTCTAACCCTTACCTTGACTTTAAATATATAATGTAATAATGTAATTGTTCCAAGACTCTTCAATAAAACGTGTAATTATTTACATATTTTTTCTTGATTTTTTTACAAACATATTTCTTCCCCTTCAATGATAGTTTTTGTCTAAAAGGCTAAAAAAATCGTTTGAAATTGTTTTACTAAAGGTTTACATTTATCGCAAGTGATAAATTTTTAAAAACGAAAGATGTTTTTATTGAATTTGTTATATTTATATATATATTTTTTAATATATCAACATTTTGTTCTGTTATCTCAATTGTTCATGTATATGAAGGATTAGATGATTACGTAATAACTGAAATGATAAATATGTTATGTAGTGAGTAAAAATCAATGTTTTCTATTTGTGCATAATTTTGCATATTTTTTCTCTTTTCTTTTGGAAACCTGTATTTTCAAAAAAATTTATTTAAACAAATTTTAACTACACCATTTATATATGTATTTATATCTTTGTGTGTGAATAAATCTTTATAATGATAATTTACCTCTATTTATATCAATACAACTTTTTATACTTAACTTGCTTGCACCTTTGGGCCTAATTTTAAAAAATACTTCTATGCATGTTTGTCTGTCTGTCCCTTTGTATCCATTAAACGTCAAAACGGCCACATCGATCAGGCCGATTTTTGTTTGGGACCTCACATGACCCCTGGGAAGGTTTATGGATGCTCAAAATTACAAAAATTTGTAACTAACAGTTTGATTATTGGAAAAATTGGAAAAGGCGGTAAAAAATATTATTTAATCCACGAACTTTTTTCTTTATTGTTTAAATTGCATGAAGATGCATCACGGATAGAGCCACAATTAAAAATTAAAATAGAAGATGAGGCGCAAAGCGCCCGCCTAATGTTTTAGATTTTACTGTAGTTCATTTTGTGATGATATTCCCTAATTTTGATTTTTAAATATGAGAATTTTATTGTTGTTTTTCGTACTTACATATTTTTATATTTTTGTAGGACTTCTCGTGTTTGCATGAAGGAGAAACCTTCTATGAAAGTGATCTACAGGGTGCCACAAAACTTATATGTAGCAATCCTAACTGCAGGTACAGGGTGCCAGTAAACTTATATGTAGCAATCCTAACTGCAGGTACAGGGTGCCACTAAACTTATATGTAGCAATCCTAACTGCAGGTACAGGGTGCCACTAAACTTATATGTAGCAATCCTAACTGCAGGTATAGGGTGCCACTAAACTTATATGTATCCCAGTAAAAATATTTCTGATCAAATAAAAATAGAAGTATTAAACCGAATATGAATTAAAATTAATGTGCTTTTAATCAACCTCTAAAGATCTGAAAGGCCTACTTTATAAAATATTTTCGAGTTTTTCTTTTTACTTTGTTACTAATTTTAAAGTATTTTTTACTTTGTTTAGGTAATTTTTGATTTTTAAAAATTACTGGAATACTGTCAAAAAAATTATTTTTGTAACCAATTATGTTTTTTTTTGAATTTTGCTTCATATTTAAGTTTAGAATTAACTGGCTAGATATGGCTCTTCAATCTATGTACTATTCTTTAATTGACTCTGCTCAGGTTAAGTCCCTATATGCACGGAGACTGCTTTATATCCTGGCAAGGACTTGTTCTCAACTATCTCAAATCTTCAGGCAGAGCAAGGTACGCTTTAAATGGACCCTTTTTTACGCATTTTTTGCGTAATCTAAGTACTCCCCTTATGAAAAAAACTCAATTTTTGAAAAAGTTTTGCTAAAAGTCTCAATCAAAAATACAGAAGCTATAACAAGTATTTGGATAATTTATGACAAAGAAAGACCAATTGTTTATTAATCTTTAGACACAACCAAATAGCCATTCACTTAGTTGAAACTTTCCCATTAACACGGATTTTTTAATCCCTGTAACTTTCCAAGCCACTGTCCTTGATTTTAATTAAACTATGAATTATGTAAGATCAAATAATCGTAAGTTTTAAATTATCAATGATTTAAACCATCAGGTTGCAAATATATAGGGATTAGAAAGACTTATTTCCGTTCTAGTTTTATTTAATCAAAGCTAATATTACAACTACGAATTTTTAAAAACCGTTTTTTTACTAGTGTTTCCTTATTAATACGTCCATTTAGGTGCGTCCACTCATGAGTTTTTTATATTCAATCATTTATTTTGATAAGATCGTGGTCAGATAAGCAGAAGCTCCAGAACCTCTGGACCAGGAAGGGATATGACCTTGTTTTCAAGGCCTGCGCATGCAACTGCATGAGCGGTCATCTTAGGTAATTAACTGTATTTTTACACGTGTCCATTTTATTCGTAAAAAATGTCACATTCTTTGTAGTTATAGAAAACTGGTAAAAATTATTGTTGAAAAATGAACAAAGTCTGAAGTACCAGCTCTTAATACGGTAAAGGGGGGGGGGCTGATTCTATAAGATGTATTTTACTTTTAAACTTTTAAAATATTTTGTTGATTTCGTTGCATGCCAGCCAGCAAGAGCATCCTTGCAAAATAAACCTAAGATGACTTTGCACTTAATCATTTCAAGTTTTAGTTTAAAATTAGAGTAACTAGTCAAACTTCCGTTTTCAATATTAAGGAGTGTTAATGAAAATAACACGTAGAAGTTTTAATGAAAATAACACGTAAAGAAGTGTTAATGAAAATAACACGTAAAGAAGTTTTAATGAAAATAACACGTAAAGAAGTGTTAATGAAAATAACACTTCATCCTTTATCATTCATCCTTAAAGGGAGTGACTGGCCATGTATTGTAGTTAAACTGATATTGCAGCATTATTGAGATTTTTTAGGATTTATTTGAAATTACAAATTACAAATTCAAAAAGGATAAGAAAATCAAATGATGAAAAAGAAACTTGTGATTCTAACGTTGATTTCTTGACAAATTTCTAATGAAAAATATGCTCCTAAACATCTGATTAGATTACTGTAGAAATTTTGTTACAATTTTTATTCGTCGTTTTTGAATGATTTTTTATAAAACGGATTCTCAAAGAGTCAAAATCATCCCTCCAAAATTTATATACAATGAGGATTTTAAATATTGAATTTGCGCTCTTGCTGAACAAATATGCACTTTAAAAACATCTGATAGATCTTAGCTCCTTCATCCTTAATCCCACATCCTTCATCCTTAATCCCACATCCTTTATCCCACATCCTTTATCCTACATCCTTTATCCTACATCTTAAATTCTTCATCCTTCATCCATTCTTCTCTAATCTAGAAAAGATTTGGAGTGGGAGTTTCCAAGGGGGGCCACCATGAACTGCTCGACGGACAGCGAGGGGGAAAAGAAGAGGAGAAGGAGGAAGACAAGCAAGAACTCCAAGATGACTTTAACTATAGGTCTTCCAGCAATTGGTCAGGTAAGTTAGCAATATGTCCTTACTTCACTTCAATACATGGTTCCATCCTTACTAAGGAATTAAGTCTTTGTCACAAACTTTGGTTTTCTAACCCTATAAATAATGCAAGTTTGAATTATGAAAGGGTTACACCATCAGATCGCAAAGATGGGATTTGAAAATTTGAGTTTGTGGCTAAGACTCGATTCCTTTAATGCACCATTTTCTAATCTAGATTGGTCAAAGTTTCTGCATGATCGATACTTCCGGTCATGATAACCATTCCCTATACTAATCCCCCCCCCTCTTACATTTATTAATTAATTATGTTGTTAATTGCCCCAAACTCAAATTTTCGGATTCCTTTACCAAGCAATTTTATGGCGGAAACCTTTGATTTTAAACTTAGACTTAACATAGCAAAATTCATAGTTCGTTCATTAAGTTTGAGGCAAGTAATCAGTTTCTTTACTAATGATCCCCTACATTAGATTTTGATGTGAGTTATCAGTTTCTTTGCTTGCAACAGAATCCTTAATAAGAGTTGGATTAGAGTATGTTTGCCTGGTTATGATTTTGATGCTAGTAATCAGTTCAATATGTTTGTTTAGATGAAGAGATCTGATGCCCAGGGTATACCTCACATCTCCAGGATACGGACTAGCAGTCTCTCGTCCACCGCCAGCGGTAGCTCCACCTTCTCCCTGGAGTCTCCGCCCTCCTCCCTCGACTCACCCGCCACTACTCCGCCCTCGGAGTCCAACCTGCCGGGTAGGAGAGCTAATCCTGAGGATAGATCCAGGTAGGAGTAGGAATTAGTCCTGTAAAGTTAACAACATTTTTTGTTGAAAACGTTGGATGAGATATTTTAGTTTGTTTTTGAGAATAAAATGGTTGATATCGGTCTTCATATATCTCCTTCGTTTTAGCTCTTAGAATACATGTATACATATATATATATATATATATNTTTTTGTTAAACTCATTAAATCTTAAGACTAGGTCTAATTTTTTCAGTCTAAAATCTTTTATTTATTTATGTCTCTCCGATCCATATTCCATAATCCATTTTAAAAAAGGGCTTGTCTGACTTACAATGGTACCCAAGGAACTTATATCTGATCAAACAATGATATGGAAGAGAATTATATTTTTCTAGCTTTACGTTTTGATTTTGATACATTGTTTTCCTGCATTAGAAATGCGCAATTGAAAATTATCATTTTTTAAAATTATGAAATTTTAAAATATATCTGATTGATCCTTGGTATGACAAAGTTTTATGTACGGTTGTGAATCGAACACTTAACTCTACAAAGTGAGGGTCAAAATTGCTTTCTCATGTTTTCTTTTTCTTAAATTAACTCATTTTATATTTTAAATTCTTGTATTTCATTATTTATACATTCTTATTATTTGCCTAATTCCATCTTCTAGATAGCGGTATCTCTTTTTTCCAATTTCTTTCGTTTTTAATTTTAGTCTTTTTATATCTTAAATTCTTTTAATGCAGCGGAAATTTATACACCATTTTTTGTCAAAATTGATTATGTGGCATAGTAGCCATATATTTCGATACATATACATTCGACGCACTTGTTCATTCCTGTTCATTCCTATTTGTACAAAAACCTCGGTTAATATAAACCCGGTATTAAGACTATTCTGTTCAGTGGTCTCTTCTCCCCTTTCATTTTTCTCTTTACGTATTTTGATTTCTTAAAAAATGATGATTTTGTGAGGCCCGCTACAGGGTATAAGTCTGACTAGTGTCCCAGAATTGCTTGCTAGCCAGCCCAGGCCGCAGCAACTTTACAGCTGTCATTTTCCTCCCACATTTCGGTGACGTCATCTTGAAGATATTTCCCCCCGGATTTTTTCATTTTATTTGTAAAATATGTATAGGAGACTCTTGATTTTTTGAAATGACAAAGTTAAAATTTTTCTTTAATGGAATGTTTCTTATGCAAGCTGTTCGTCCTTGGTTGGGGGGCAAGGTTACGTACGTGAATCTGCAAGCTGTGTTTTAATCTTTCCGACAAATTCTATCTATCTATCCTCGTCTGTCTGTCCGTCTGTCGGTTTCTTTTCTATAGCTGTGAATACTTTTAAACCAACTATCTGTTGCAATTGTTATGTTAAATCAATGATATATATTTTAAAATTGTGAAAGAGGAAGACCACTGTTTTAACTTTCTAAAATTTTGCTAGAAAAATTGATGTGGATTACTGTAAAGTATTTAAATTTGCTAATCTTGGAAACATGTACATGGCCGGTGTTGAATGGTGTCTAATGAATGTACATACATTGAAATGGAGTTTTTTGATTTGTAAAATGTTGTACATTATGTGGAGTATATTGGATTTGTAAAATAGTTTACAATTAAAAAAGTATAACGGATAATGAAGATACAATCAAGTTATAAAAGTTTGGGAATAGCAAATTGTATACGAACATCGTAAATAAAAAATTGATAGAACTGGGGGGGGGGAACTAAAAATTGTAAAAATTTCAATAACAATGATAATTTGTGCATGCTTTGGGTCCGTCAAAGTAAACAATTTTTGCCCCCCCCGTTCTACCAATTTTGTACATATCCAGCGGTAATTTCCTAATATACGATTTTTTGACCCCCCCCCCCCCTTCCCCCTCCTATCAATTTTGTACATGGAATTTACATATGTAACACTCACCCGGACCAAATATAACGCCCGGGCCTTATTTAACGTGACACCGGCCCCATGACATGGTCATGGGATGGAAGAGGTGGAAGGAGTAATGTGTTTCCACTTCTATAAATGTTCCTGGGAAGTAAAAATATTTCCAAAACTGGTAAATCAAATAATTGTTTGGGACTAGAAGTTGGCCTAAATTTTTCCTTGGAGGGGGGATGTTCCTTCTAGTTTCCCAGGTAGGGGAATCACTCCCCAATTTTCCAGGGGGCGTCTTCCTTCCCCCCCCCCTCAATTAAGCCGCCCCTGAATAAATTTTATTTTAAATTTTTAAGACAAATATTTGGTGCTATGGAAACGCTTTAAAACTAATTTAATGTCGTCTTCTCTCAACTTCAATTAAAAAGACTATTCTAACGACTTTCACAGCCATGGCCGCAGCGCTCGGCTTCCTAATCTGTTATAGCCGCAGCGCTCGGCGCCCTCTGTCCGAAATCTGCGTTCTAATTATTAACAGAATTATAAAGAGTGTTTTTTTAAAGGTACATTTAATTGAGGGGGAAGCTAATTGAATCTTAAAATTGATTTAAGGGATGAATAGACTCTAAATATTGTGTCAAGGGTTTTGTGTACCAGCTAGCCTTTTTGCCTGTAAGATTGGGTGGAAGGGGGGGCTTCAAGGTCAAACTATTCGGGTGAATTTTTCGCGCCATATTCTTACCCTCGTTTATTTCAACATAGTTTTGTAAAGGGTGTGCTGGTAGTGTTGCCTCTCTGTAAATCAATGAAGCAGCTTTACTACGCATTTTACTACGCATGTGACAGCTGTATTGCGTGAGAAACAGCTAGCTGCGTGAAGGGGGGGGGGGAGACTTTCGGTTTCACGTTCACTAAACTTAAAAGCGTTCATCTGAACATTATTTTTACTTTAATTCCACTTGATGCAAAATTTGGTATTATCTTTGAAAACTTTCAGCCATGAATATAAATTTATTTACCCCCTCCTTTATGGAAAAAAATGTTCTCACTATATAAGGCGAGAAACTATGAAAATTCTTCATATCCTAGGCCACAACAAGAAGTCCATTAACGTGCTATAATCTTGGAACGATTAAAAGTATGTCGGGGTTTAGTAGTAGGCAAAACATGTAAATTATTGTGCTAAAAAATTACTTTGAATACATCATCTCTCTTCTTATCCTTCAAATCTAAAATACATTCCGTTTAAACCAAGCAAAAAGGACAGCTGGGAGCACTCTTCTTTATTCAATTTGCACCCCCGAACCCTCTCCTAAGCCTTGCCAATTCTCCCTTATTGGACCCACTTCCCCTCAACCTACCCCACCCTTCCACCCCTTTTATATTTTCTGTATTTAACTTTGCTCTGGAATTTTGCACCAGGAAAACTGTGCAGAAATAGCCACGTGTAGAGTTGTTGCCATTTATGAATGTGGAAATAAAAAAGTCCCAATTATCTGAAGTCCTAGGACAAAATGTCACTGGAACTAAAGTCCTAAGTTTTAGATGCCTGAAATATGGGGGCTGCCAATAAAGTCTCGGGTAGTAAAATCACAGGAATTAAAGTCCTGAAGAAAAAAGTCCAAGTCTTGGGAAAATGAGGTTAATTCATAGACGTTTTCACAAAAAGAACTTTTCTTCTATGCATCTTTATATTTAATATAGCTAGGGGTGTTTTTAATATCAAGTTCTTTTTTCCCTTGATTTTTAGACATCCTTCCCATGCATTTCCCACTATAAGAGGACTTTTTTTTCTGGGGACTTACATGTATAAAATCATACTGGAGCCAGGAAAAAAGTCCTAGAAAATAAAGTCTCAAAATGGTAGGGCTTTATTTCCAGAGATTTTTTATTTCAATGACTTTTTTCCACGGGACTTTTAGTGCCAAAATTTAGGACTTTAAAAACTTTTTTTCAAAGATTTTTTTGAGGTTACCGAAGGGTGTGATGGTATAAGATTAAGGTGTGGAGGATATGAAGGTGTTCAGGAAGGGTCTACCAAGTTATATGAATATTTTTGTTACTATGCTGCCCCTCCCCTCTCAATTTCAACCCTTTTTTGGCCTCTGAAAGTGCAATTTTGAAAGAGGGAACACGTCGCACTTTGCCATTCATCTAGAGACGAGAAAGGGAACCCCTGGCCGCCATGAGCCTCCCGAATTTGCTATACAAAGCTTCCTCTTTACAGAACAAATTTTACATTAAAACTTTAATTTGATTTTACAACTTTACTTTATTTGAACACTTTCACTTTATTGAAACACATTTTATTATGTTACTTTTACACGTAATTTAACACTTATACTCTTTTTTACATTTTTTACGTTTCATTATTTTAATATTACACGTATACTATCACTCACGTGTCTACAATTTTACTAAAAAAAATTACACTTAATTTTTTATTTGGTTGAGCGTACGCAATTTTGTTCAGCCTGACTCCTTGGTAACATACCTTTTTGGGCCTCCCCCCTTTATTAGCAATTCAGTATTTCACGGCTATGAATTTCACATTTTAAAATTGCACCTTCTACTGAAATTTATTATCACAGATTTAACAGTTTTTTTCTCAACTTTTCCTTGCTCATTGTAAATTGTACACTGATTGTTTTAATTTGTTACTTGTGTACCGATCGGGCCCAACATTTGTGTGGGACCTCACGTGACCCCAGGGGAGGTTCATAAAAGTTTTTTTTATTTTTGTCAAATATAGAAAATGCGGGAAAAAAATATTTTGAAATCCTCAAACTTTTTTTGTGCAAAGAAGATGCTTACAGATAAAGCCACAATTTAAAGTTACAATAGAAGATGGGCGCAGGTTTGTTTTTAATAAATGATTAGATACATTGTTCATTGTGAGATCTTTCAAAGACAGAAGAATTATTTTTACCCGGGGATTATTCAATTTTCGAGTTTAAGGCTGTCTTTATATAGTCTCATCCTGTAAGGGTAACTGTGTGGGGGGGGGGGGGGTTTAGAACATGTTGTGCATGAAAGTTAATGTCAAGGGGGGGGGAAGTTCACCCCCCCCCCTAGCAACTTCTGCAGTTTTAAGGGGGGGGGGTGCCATGAAATGACAGACATAGTAACAGAAAATGCATCACTTTGCCTGTCTTGTCGCAGCATAGTAACACAATTTAAATAACAACTGTCTGGACCGATACATAGTTCTACGATTTGTCGCACAAAATTCATGAGAATTTTTTTATTTTTGTCTAGTCTGTTTTATCCGATTCTGATTTTTCTCTTGCTTGTGTTTTAAATTAATGAACATTGCATTTTTTTAATGAACATTATGTTTTATGACTTAAAATAAAGTTTTTATAAATGAACATTAAGATTTTATAAATGAACATGAAGTTTTTATTTTCAAACATTGAGTTTTTATGAATGGACACTTAGTTTTATTAATGATCATCAAGTTTTTATTAATTAATTAAGTTTTAAATGACTTGCCATATAGGGCGCTTCGCGCCCATCTTCTAAATTAATTGTAAACATGTTCTCTTTGTGTACATCGTAAAACAAAACAAAAATAATTCGCAGATTTTCACAACAAATTTCGTGGATTTTCAAAATTTTCAAAAATTTAATGAAGATCGAATTTTGATGGAGACAAATATTTAAAATTTTGATCATTCATAAACCTTCCCTGGGGTGACGTGATGTCCCACAAAAAATTTGGGCCCGATCGGTTCAGCCGTTTTGACGTTTATTGGATACGAACAGACAAACAAACAAACATACAGACAGACAAGCCAAATCTATATATAGATTAACTTCTTAGTTGTAAGGTTGAATAATTTGTTTTGACCAATGAACATCTTCTATTTCATGATTTGTTTTTAATGCATGAAAATATTGTTTTTAATGATGAAATGCACCGTTTTTTAATGAAGAACATGATTTTAGAACAATGATTATCTTGTTGTTCACATCTTATTTCTTTCCATCAATAACATCTGAGTTTTTAATAATTAAATTTTTGTTTGAACAATGATTATCTTGGTATGTGAAGAAATCTTGTTTTTAACTAAGCAAGGTATATAATAATTTTGTTCAGACATGACAGTGGTGGAAGTATTTTCCTCCGAAGATCCGACTTTTCTTCCTTCAATGTTCTTCCAAAACATAAGATCAACTCCTACCATATTAAGGTATTATAGAGTATAGACCTACAAAAAAAACCTGTTCTATTCGATGTAATAAAGCAATTCGCTCATTTATATGTTCGCTAAAGCAGGCCAAACGGATGGACCAAATTGACTGAACTTTTTTCGGGAGAGCCCATGGGTATTAGGTGACATGGATAAAAAAATTGGAATTCTTAAAATTTCAAAGGCATCTCTTGGCACTTCAGCTCAAATTATGTTAAGACCAAGCGCGTGTAAACGGCAATGTGACCTGGGCAACGTCGGGCACTTAAGTTTCTATTATATATTTATATTTTAAGATGGAGGATGAGTGTAGTATTGGAAATGATGAGACGAGATCTTTTTTTTCTGGGGACTTACATGTATAAAATCATACTGGAGCCAGGAAAAAAGTCCTAGAAAATAAAGTCTCAAAATGGTAGGGCTTTATTTCCAGAGATTTTTTATTTCAATGACTTTTTTCCACGGGACTTTTAGTGCCAAAATTTAGGACTTTAAAAACTTTTTTTCAAAGATTTTTTTGAGGTTACCGAAGGGTGTGATGGTATAAGATTAAGGTGTGGAGGATATGAAGGTGTTCAGGAAGGGTCTACCAAGTTATATGAATATTTTTGTTACTATGCTGCCCCTCCCCTCTCAATTTCAACCCTTTTTTGGCCTCTGAAAGTGCAATTTTGAAAGAGGGAACACGTCGCACTTTGCCATTCATCTAGAGACGAGAAAGGGAACCCCTGGCCGCCATGAGCCTCCCGAATTTGCTATACAAAGCTTCCTCTTTACAGAACAANCCCCCTAGCGCTCGTTGTCATAGGAGTTTGTTTCACAGCTATCCATTTAATGTCAGTCATTTCATTTTAAGGCATTTTGGCTCTTGCATATTTTCATGGCAATTTGGCGTTATTTCTGGCAATTTATTGTTATTTGGGCAATTCGTATTTTTAAGATAAAATTGGTGATTTATCCTTATCTATAATAAATTGATATTTTTCCATTTTGTCTCATTAATTGTTGATATTTTTGCAATTTGTCTCTATTGAGGTTTTGACTATGTCTCTGTAATAAATTCGTCTCTCTTATTATCATTGTTAATCGTCTCATTAACTTAACAGTTTGCCTCTTACAGATTGACTTGACAACCTGTCGCTTTCATAAAATCTAGGCAATTTTTTTCCTTTTTTTTATTTGTTTTTTTTTACTCTTTTTTGTTTAGGGTTCCCTGTGTATTGTGTGGAGGGTTGATGAACATCTTTGAACGGTATCTTTTTTACTTTTGCCATTTTCTATCCTACACAAATAATTTAGTTTAAAAATTATTCCCTTTTTGAGAATTCAAAATTTAGACTAGTTCAACTATTTCTCTTGTGCCGCCGAAATCAAATTAAAAAATAAATAGAACATTAAACATTAACATTTTTTTTACTTTTGTTATATGCATATTTTTTTATATATCCACTATCCAGTGATTGATTGAATTTCTTTTTTTATATCCTTTTTTGAATTGAACTCTCTTAAAGAGTTTCACTGAACTGTGTAACTTTTTTTTTAGATACCCACTGATTGATGGAACTTTTTTCCTCTCTCCTCGACAGCATGCCAAGACTTGCATACAGGTACAAAAAAAATTTTACTGTACACTGTTCTAACATGATTTAGTTTAAAGGTCGATGGTGCATTTTCATTCTACGTACTACTGTATCTAGCTAATGGTTGAGGATAGATCTAACTACGTGTCTAGAGTGTACTGTACTTTATCTAGGTAAAGGTTGAAGGTAGATGATCTAAATACTTGTCTGTACTGAATCTTGGTGAAGGTTAAGGTATATCTAACTACTTGTCTGTACTGTACTGTACTGTACTGTACTGTACTGTACTTTACTGTACTTCTGGGTAAAAGTTGAAGGCAGATCTAACTACTTGTCTGGAGTGTACTAGACTGTACTGTACTGTGTGTATTGTTCTGTACTGTTGACCGTTTCTAGGTGAAGGTTGAGGGTAGATCCAACTTCTTGTCTGGAGTGTGTATGGGTTGTCTAGAAGGATGGAACACAAGTCTGCACTGCAGGTAAACATCTTAATTTGTGACTTGTCCCTTTAACATTTTTTAATGTACTGCTTGTTTAGGTACTGCTTGTCTGCCTGGGATGGAAGCCAGTTGATTCTAGGAACTATGTACTCCTACGATATATTTGCAGCAGTACCTTGCTGTCCGGATAGGCTTAAGGTATTTTTATCTTTCCAAGCTTGCGTCTTTTCTCAGGTCTCTGGACCTTGAAAGCTTAAATGTTTCTTATTACGTAAATAGTTGCAGCAATTATCATATCACACAGAGTAAAATCAAAGAAGAATTAAATTCCATTTCATTCAAAACTGTGACTTCTATTTTATCTTGATGTTACCTGGACCAAATTATTGTTTACAAAATTTAGATTTTAAGGATTAAAAAATTGAACTATTCAGTGTGCTTCGTGTCATCAGCTAGTAATCCACCCAGACCAGAGGTTCAACTTCTTCTCAGATTACAGGTAAAGTAGATTTTTTTTTCCCACATTCAACCATACTGCACATCGGATCAGATCGAACTGAATAGACGTATTGGATCTAGATCCTTTTTGAATATGTATAGGAATTGTTTTATTTTAAGATTTATAAAGTATATTTGTAGTCAAACTGTTAGCTGTCCCTCTTGCGGAGTTCAAGACTTTCACTTCACCAAGCCTTTGAACACTTTCGTCACTAGAGACGAATTGGCAATGGTAAGATTAAAAAAAACAATTTTGGGATTTAATGAAAAGAGAGATGATTTTGACACAATACTTTTTTAGGCTGCAGCGACCAAGCAGAACATCGCAAGAAGCTGGGCAGCAGCTGTACGCTCATAGTTTAATTTCCCGCCATAAAGATGCTCAGCTGATTTAACCCGCCAAACTATGATTTCCGGTTGCGAAAATATTCCGCGGTAAACTTGCGCACAGCGCATAATGGCGGCACACAGTCTTAGTATAATTGAGAACTTTTTCACCTAAACCAAGTAGTTTAAATATCTGTCCATTAGCCAAAAGTTAGAACCTCGCACTGTACGCACTGTACTATTATATAATCCAACCCTGCGTAACATTCTTTTATTAGCTGACACACAATGTCCGCTCTAAAAGTGCTTAGTTGATTTACGCTTTTCATTAGAAGCCTGGTGTATTATGGCTTGATCGATATATAACTATATTATATATACATTATCCACTATGTAATGGAATATTTTATTATTTTGTAATAACCTACAATAACCTACTGGGAGAGTTAGTATACATTGATTCCTACTTTCTTTAAATTAAGAAATTTTTTGTTCTTAACTCTTTCAGTATTTGAGTGTAGGGTTGTACTTACATTTACCGATGAAGAATCCTGGTGATTTGTTTTAATATTTTTTTCTTGAATCTCTTATTTTGTATCGTCAATATTTACTCGCAAACCTTGGGTAACCATTAACCAAGCTTTCATTCATTTTTTCTCATTTTTTCTGAAATTTCATGGAATTTTTAATGGTTTTTACCCATGTGTTTGCCAGTGATGGGTTCTCTATATAACAAGAATATGATATTTTTTTTGTGGCTGACTAAATATTTTCTTAGCTCCTTTTCAATTCCACACAAGTTTAAATAGTAAGTACCCATGATATCAATTAACAATTTTATTCATTCTCTATTTATGAAATTATTTTTCTTATCCATTGGCATTATTTTTTTTCATGTTATTTTTCCAGATCTCAATTAGGTCAAAATTGAAGCTATATTTTCTTGTTTTTCTTTTGCTGAGTGAGTGTAAGTGTAGATATAAGGGGGTATTACAAAAATGGCATGGTCGATTCATAACTATTAACTGTACTCAATAAACCCGTATCTGAGTAACAATGATAACGACGTTTTTTAATGTTTGTTGAATTCTGACAATTTTTTTCATTGTCTCGAAGGGGAAAGTTTACTGTTGTGAATAGAACATGCCGATCTATAAATACAGGGTCACCTGAAATGACGTCTACTTCTTGTTTAAGTTTAGATTTACAGGGTGTCCCACGAAACATGACAGTATGCAGGACGACTTTAATGTCGTCTTGATTTTTGATATAATTTGCTGCGTTTATTTTTCAATCTAATTTTAGAATTAAATTTCTAGAGATAATAATCACAAAATTTCCCTTGTCTTGCCATTTCCAAAATGTGGTCTGCCTTTTTTGTGCTTTCAATATTGCCCGAGATATGAAGAATTTTTCGTTCAGATTTCGACAATTTTGCTTTTATTTAACAAAATTGAAATCTGAACCAAACTCTTTATATCTCCAGTAATATTGAAAGCTCAAAAAACGCAGACCACTTTTTGGAAATGCCAGGGCTAGGAGAATTATGTGATAGTTGTTTCAAGAATCATACATGTTAAAGTAGATAGAAGACTAAATGTCACAAATAAATTCAAATACCAAAGACGACTTTCAAGTCGTCTTGCTATTGTCATGTTTCGTGGGACACCCTGTAGTTGATTATATCATGTTATTATATTTTAGTGTTGATCAGTCGTAATTTTAACTGTATCAATTTCTAGCTATATGTTAGCGCTTGTACCTGTATTGTGTTTAATTAAGCTTAAGTTTAAATATATTTCGTTACCACTCACATCTTTATTTTTATGATATTCACCATGGGCATGGGTAGAACTCAGATGGCAAAAACTTTGTTTTTTTTTACAGAACTTTTTGGTTTTTCTGAACCCTTCACAAATTAAATTAGAAGTTCTATAAAACAGATATTGCTTATCCGAAGCTGAGCTAAGATCTATGAATGCTTAGGTTAAGAACACCCTCAACTAAGCTTATGATGTGCTCTGCAGTACTTGCAGTACTCTGGCCGAAGAAATAGTTGGTTTTGGTTGAGAGGGAGAAATCCACGAACAATCTGTTTTGAGGTTTTTCTTTCCAGGGGGAGGGGCTTAGTGAATAAATTTCAATTATTCAGGAGGGCAGGGATGGGGGGACTAAGTCCATTAGCCCCTGCTCTGAATTCGGCTCTGAGTGGTAACTCTTTTCTGTTTATAGAGTAAATTAGTCTGACTCGGCCGGAAAAATCCTCGAAATTTGTAGTCAGCTGTTTTTACTCAGCTTTCATTCAGTCTTGGTCTAGACCTTTCACAGGGTGAATAAACTTTCCTTGTCCAATACAGGAAATATTAGATATAAACAGTGAGAAGCAGAAAACTTTGGAATATGAAGACTATTCAAGTTATACCAGAACATGAGAAACAGCAATTGCGCTCTACAAACAGACCTATTCAACTTAAACTACGTTATTCCATAAAAAACTTATTCACATTCCACAGTTTTCCTCTTCTCACACTACATCATTCTCATGGGGGTCGATGAATGAGTTTCTTTGAAATATATAAAGAAATTTTAACATTTTTTCGACGTAGATTAGACTTATACTTATTGCCTATTGAATTTCGTGATTTGTTCCTAATATTAAGTGGTTTATAAGATTTTTGATTACTGACAAAGTGGTTTATAACATTCATGATTAGTGACAAAGTGGTTTATAAGATTTATGATTACTGACAAAGTGTTTTATAAGATTACTGACAAAACATTTCTAAATTCTGACGGTTCTGACGCAGAAAAAAGGCTTGAAGCTGAATTGAAACTAATTAATTTTCTTTAAATGTTTGATTTCAGGAATAGATTTGTTTTGAAATTTTGTATAAATTTAAATCTGTGATAGAAAAAAAATATGTATTGTGAAAGATCAGATAAAATTAAATTTAAATTTTTCTATAAATATTTACTTTTCACTTAGAACATATAAAAAGTTGTATAAACCACTCTATTAGTCATGTGCATAATTAGGCACTAATTATAATTACTGATTAATACTTCTGATCTGATAAACCTCTCATGTAGAAATGGACATTGTTTTTAGGAACAAACGAAATTTTTCGTGAACCAATGTGTCGTTCAGAAAAGAAAACTAAGGACATGGACAAATGATTTGGATAATTCAGAAATGAAAAAAACGATAATTTTTAAACGAACGAACCTAAAAAAAACGATTTAGAACAAATCTTTTTAAAAACAAACGGTTTTTTACTGAATGAACGATTTTTTCCAACAAACTTTTGAAAACTATTTTTTTTTACTAAAGGAATTTTTTTACTAAACATTACAACTGTACGAACTACTGAATGATCGTTCATTTAGAAAACTAACGAGACGAGATATATGGGAAATGAACATTATTTTGAGAACGAATAAAATAATTTTTTTGCACTAATGAAAAAGGAATGAACAATGAACGAACGAAATGAAAAAAGCCGAATGTGCCCATCATTATACTCTCATGTCATGTGGAAAAATTTGTTATTTAAATTTAAAACATGAGTTTTAAAAACCTCCTGTATGACACAGGCTCATTTTGATGTATTACGCTCATTTACCATATGGCGTATATCGGATTGAGGCTCGTAATGCCTGGCAAATAAGGGAGGCTCTAATGCTGTATAGCGGAGGCTCATGGCGGCCGGGGTTCCCTCCCTCTTTCCACCTTTCTAATTGTTTTTTATTAAGAAAAAATGTTTTTTTTAAGATCTAGATATTTATTATATTATATAAACTGCACAAAATTGTTCACATGTATTTAATACAACTATTTTACGATACTATCGTGTACATATATTCTTAGATTAATTAATAAAAAATCAAACGGATACATTTTATCGTTTTTCCTGTTACAATTGATGTTACGTTTATATTCAAGTATTGATAAGACTGCATTTCAGGATAAGAAGGAAAAAAAACTACATTATTTATAAAAGGATAGCATTCCATTAGCAGTAGGTTTGAAAATCAATGAAGTAGTGGAACATTTAATGCATAAAATAAGTTGATGTTGACGAGACAGGTTTATGTGGATTGAATAAAATTATTACTATGTAACAACATACAGATTGAGAGCTCTACCAACGAAGTACATTGATGGTTCTTCGTTGGTGTGGCTGCATATTATTTTAACTATGTAATCTTACAGTTATATAACCGACGTAAGGTAAGAGACTATGTAATTAAGGAATATGCCAGCGCGGAACATTGATAGTTCCTTGCTGCATATTATTTTCAAGCCTTTATAACCGACGTAAAGGTAGGAAACTATGTAATTAAGAAAACATATACCAGAGGACTAGACTCACGCGGAACATTGATGGTTCCGCGCTACTGTCCAGGACGCTTAAGAGAGATTATGGTTTAATCTCTTCATATTCCACATATCTTTTAGATTCTAGAGTGAATATGTTGCTCGTTTGTATTATTTTCGAGCCTTTATAACCGACGTAAAGGTAGGAAACTATGTAATTAAAAAAACATATACCAGAGGACTAGACTCACACGGAACATTGATGGTTCCGCGCTACTGTCCAGGACGCTTAAGAGAGATTATGGTTTAATCTCTTCATATTCCACATATCTTTTAGATTCTAGAGTGAATATGTTGCTCGTTTGTATTATTTTCGAGCCTTTATAACCGACGTAAAGGTAGGAAACTATGTAATTAAAGAAATATATACCAGAGGACTGGACTCACGCGGAACATTGATGGTTCCGCGTTACTGTCCAGGACTCTTAAGAGAGATAGTGGTTTAATCTCTTCATATTCATCATATCTTTTAGATTCTGGAGTGAATATGTTGCTCGTTTATATTGGCAACATATTGGATGGAACGACGTAGAAACGTTGTCCCATTATCTTGAGACATCTTGGTTTCTCAGCGGTGAGGTTTGTCTCCGTTATCCGCCAGCTCGAGAGGCGTTACAGTTCTCTGAGACTGAATTAGTAAAAGAGAACATTAGTTTATTTTAAAAAGAATTTTGTGAGTGAGAAGAAAAATTCAGATCTTAGCTTAAATTCTCTTTATCTAGAGATCTATTTCAGAATATTATTCACAAAGAGTTATTAATTTTACCAAAAATTATTTGTAAGAACTAAATTCCAAAAAAAAGAGATAAAGTTGGATATATAAGATCTATGCGGGGTCGTTTTACTACGACTAGATTTTGCTGAGAGAAATATACTTCTGAATATTTACGATTTTTGTAACGTTACTTATATGAGGAAGAAAATGATGTTTAACTTAAATATTCAGGTCTTTTATACAGAAAAGTATTTTAGGAATACAAAAATAGGTTATTAAATTTAAAAAAAATTAAACCAAAAGGGAGATTATGTGAATAGGAAGATTGCGGTTGCTGAAATGTGACAGAAACCTGTGTAAAGCAAGACTTATAGCAAATGAAAAAAGAAAGTTTTTTTACTTCGATTAAATAGGGTTAATTTTCGAAGTTTTTACAGTTTTTATGTCAGAGATATCAGATTAGAGGATAAAAGATAAAAAGATAGTTTTTTGACTTTATAAAATTAACATTGTAGTATAAACTTAATAGAAACTCATGTATAAAGAACTAAATAATGGCAACTTTACAAAGAGAAACTCAATATAACAAGCCAGATGGAATCGATTAAAGCACTAACTTTGCACAGACATTTATTTTACATTATTATTAAAAAATCCTGTGCAGGGTTCTTTCTATGCTGAGCACGTTCAGAATGTTAGCGTTTGGCCTTTTTCTGATACGACATGGGCGGCTGCGAGCGTTTAGACGCACCTGAGGGCTTCAGTTCCTCAAAACCGCAGGACTCTCTGTGAGCCTCGACCCATCGGGAAAACCTAACCCCGCAAGGGACAGAGGGACCCAGGGTTGGTTTGGGCATGTCCATTACCGACCAGAAAAAATGTTAAAACATAAAAATTACATAAAAATCTTTTTCCGTAATTGATAAAATTATTGTACTTCAAAACATAAGGAAGTAAATGTTTGAAATAAAATAAACTTTGGAGAAATTACTGTGCTATCAAGAAAATTACTGTGCTAACAAGGAAATTACTGTGCTATCAAGGAAATTAAAAAACTAACTTTTGCAAAATCACAAAGTGATAATCAACAATAATTTAATGAGAAGGCAAAGTCGGCAAAGTGTAGAGAATACATTGTAGAAAAAATGACGATATCAGAATCTGATTTATCCGTAGATATGAAAACGCGGAGAAGTGGCTCTAGCTTCAGAATGGTAAATGTTTTAAAAAAGGAAGGATAAATGCCTAATTCAAGATTATATTTTACCGTATCTTGTTACAACATGCGTGTCTTAAAATTGTTTGCGAATAAAAATTTTTATTTTTAAAAAATTAAGTATTATAAAAAACATAGATTTATTAAAAGAATAGATAGGACACTAGATGCGTCTTTTCAAAATTTGGATTAAACTCGTTCACAATACCTTAACACAATAACAAAATAAAGGAGTTTTGCCAGTCGGCGTAGAGTTACAAGACAGAGAGAGCCTGTTCTACGCCGACTACGCAAAACTCCTCTGGGCTTCTGCCTCAGGGTCATTGTGATTTGTGAACGAGTAATTCATACAAATTTTGAAAAGACGACATCTAGTACACGGTACATTCCTGTTCATTGCATGTACTGGGCCGAATTTCAACTAGCCAGGGCAAACAGTATAGTACAAATACAGACTATATGAGGCAAAACGGGACTGTATGCCAATTGAATGATCCCCTTCTAGTGAAATTTATGTGATTGTGAGTGTCCTATCTGTTATTTTATTTAATCTACGTCTAAAAGTGTTAAAAAGTCCATTTTCTACTCAATATTCCATAGTAAAAAGTAATTCTGTATTGTACCGTACTGTACTGTACTGTACTGTACTGTACTGTACTGTACTGTACTGTTCTGTACTCTACTGTACTGTACTGTACAGTACTGTACTGCACTGCACTGCAGGTGTTAGCCGGAATAATATGTACACTACCTGGCATCTCCTCTGGTTTATCAATGGGGTTCTCAGCAGTTCTAATCCCCCAGCTACAGGAGCAGGGGGCAGATATACAAATATCTTTAGAAGAAGGATCATGGATAGGTATTTCATAAAGGTTGTCCTAATAAACATGTGAATTAAATGACGACTTCTATATCGTCCTTGTTCCATGCGCAATTATTTCGTAAACATAATTTTGTTGTATATCACAGTTTAAAAAAATATTCTCAAAATCATTTATCCAATATGAACAATCTTTGAGTATTTTAAAGATTGAATTTGCGCTCTTGCTATACAATTATGCACCCTAAAAACATCTGATAGGTTTCAAATGAATCCTAAACAATGTTTCAATAATATTGCAATCTCATTTCAATTATACATAGATTGCCGGTTACTCCCATTAAGAAAGGTTCCGCCCTTAATTTTCAAAAGAGTTTAATGATTTAATATTCATTATACAACATTACAAATATTATTTAATTTTAGCAAGTCTGTTTGTGGTTGGTGATCTGCTTGGGTGTGTTATAGGCGGACCGATAGCAGATAGGTAGGATACGGCAGACCAATAGCAGATAGGTAGGATACGGCGGACCGATAGCAGATAGGAAGGATACGGCGGACCAATAGCATATAGGTAGGATACGGCGGACCGATAGCAGATAGGTAGGATACGGCGGACCAATAGCAGATAGGTAGGATACGGCGGACCGATAGCAGATAGGTAGGATACGGCGGACCAATAGCAGATAGGTAGGATACGGCGGACTTTTGTTTATGACAAAGAGATCGTTCTAAAATTTAGGGTCTCAAGGGAGTATTTACCATATTTGAAAATACAAATAATCATTTTTTGACTTATATTAGAAGTTTTGGGAAAATAACTAAGACTGTACCACAAAGCTAAGATTTCTCAAATAGGCAGACAAATTAATGATTTCTTTCAAAATAACCTTCGTAAGAACAAACATTAAACGTCATCCCGTATTTAGTTTTTCTGTTTGCTTTTAATCACGAAAGATAAAGTAAAGTTATTAAGTTAATTAAAATCATTTACAGCGTCTTCTTGTCCTTTTTTGTCTAAAACGTACACCCCACACCAAGATGTGGACGCTATATCACACACACAGGCAGCCGTAGTACATTTGAATTTCCGAGCCGGGTCAACCTTTCCGGTCCCAGTTTGTACTGTACCTATCTCTATGGACAGGACTAGCCGGTGCAACAAGGTTGACGCGGTCAGACTTTATGCTTCATATACGCTGAATTTACTTTTACTGAAGGGGCAGATTTGCGTGCACAAATTTCAATCAGTATTTGGCTAAATATTCCTTAAGCTAGAAAGAAGAGCATTGCAATTTTAAGATATATATATTAAGAACTACAACAAAGTATAAGTGAGTTGGTGAGGTAAAACCAAACAACGCCAAGGCGATGCGACATTGCCAAGTCAAGGCTGTCTAAAAATTTTGATGACTTAAAAGTTTCAGACTTTTCTAAATCTCAGTGCGTATTAACCGTAATTTTGTCCGAGATAAGTTTTAGAATAGTTTTTTTTAGGGGGGGGGGGGGAGCATCCCATTGGTTGATTGAGCCTTCATAACCAGTGCCTAAAAATGCGTTAATAACACACCAAATTTTATTTTAATTGTATTATAGAGCTATTCAAATTTTATTATAGAGCTATTTAAATTGTAATAGAGCTGTTTAAGTTGTATCATAGAGCTATTTAAATTGTATTATAAAGGTATTTAAATTGCATTACAGAGCTATTTTAATTGTATTATAGAGCTATTCAAATTTTATTATAGAGCGATTTAAATTTTAATAGAGCTATTTAAGCTGTATCAGAGCTATTTAAATTGTATTATAAAGCTATTTAAATTGTATTACAGAGCTATTTGTACTGTATTACAGAGCTATTTAAATTGTATTATAGAGCTATTTAAATTGTATTATAGAGCTAATTAAATTGTATTATAGAGCTATTTAAATTGTATTATAGAGCTATTTGTACTGTATTACAGAGCTATTTAAATTGTATTATAGAGCTATTTAAATTGTATTATAGAGCTAATTAAATTGTATTATAGAGCTATTTAAATTGTATTATAGAGCTATTTAAATTGTATCATAGAGCTATTCAAATTGTATTATAGAGCTAATTAAATTGTATTAAAGAGCTATTTAAACTCTTTTGTTCAGGTTTGGAAGAAGGAATTGTATTTTGCTTAATTCAATTCCTCTCAGTCTTGGTTGGATTCTGATTCAACAATCTCAGACCCTTCTTCATCTATATATATCCAGGTATAGAGAGGGGCGTTGTATTAAAATATTTATCCAGGTATAGAGAGGGAAGTTGTATTACAATATATATCCAGGTAGAGAGGGGTGTTGTATTAAAATATATATCCAGGTATAGAGAGGGAAGTTGTATTAAAATATATCCAGGTATAGAGAGGTGCGTTGTATTGAAATATATATCCAGGTATAGAGAGGGAAGTTGTATTACAATATATATACAGGTTTAGAGAGGGGTGTTGTATTAAAATATATATCCAGGTATAGAGAAGGAAGTTGTATTAAAAAATATATACAGGTTTAGAGAGGGGCGTTGTATTACAATATATATCCAGGTATAGAGAGGGAAGTTGTATTACAATATATATACAGGTTTAGAGAGGGGCGTTGTATTAAAATATATATCCAGGTATAGAGAGGGAAGTTGTATTAAAAATCGAAGAAGAAAAGCCAACGTTTTTTTGTTTTTAAAATCTAACGACGCTTAATGATTAAATGTAGTGAAATGACAGATTTAAACTTTTTAAAAACGAAAAATCAAACGACGTTGGTTAGTTTTAAAGAAAAAAGTTTGTCAACAGAACTTTGGTCAGCCCTAGTTTTTTTTATAAAATGATTTAGAGTTATCACTGGAATCGGAATTGGAGCCGGGCTTCCCATTATTTCAATTTATCTGAGGTATTTCTTAATATTTTTAAACATTTAAAAAAAATATCATATTTTATTGTTTTTCAAGAGAAATCTCTTCTGCTGATAAACGAGGCTTGATTTCAATTTTACTTCCAGCATCCGCAAATATAGGTAATATTTCCGCCAACTTTTCCAATTCAAATTCAACCATAATTTTGGTTTTTATTTCGTTACAGAAAATACCATTTTTTCCATCCAAAATTCATTTCAAATATAACTTTATTATTAGTTATCTATTTCAAAAATAGTTCTAAGTTAGATTTTTACTTCTAACAAAATTTCAGCTAAAACATTATTTACTTCGAGCTAAATTCATTAAATTTTGTTTGATCATAATTTTTATCATTATTTTTTTACTTGAAATTAACCTTACCTGTCATTTCTCTCATCATAGTCTTTCTTAGTTAAGTTTATCAGAGAAGGTGTTGGAGGTTTTAGAACATTTTTGTTCTATCAGTTTTTGTTTAAAAATATTTGTGAGAGTTTTAGGTTGTTATTTTTGGGTAGCACTGTATTGTTTATATCATTTAGGTTTTTTGTTAATGTACGTTCTTGGATACTTTATACCTTATTGGAGAAGTACAACTTTACCAGGTACTGTACTAATACTAGGTGTACAGGTACTGTACATTTATATGGGTACTGTACAATGTTCATGTACGTACGTTCATGAATACTCCAGTAGTTTTTAGGTGTATACAACTTTACCAGATACTGAACTAATACCAGGTGTACTGCAGGTAAATACTCTACAGTAATCTTGAACGTTTTAGCTCTTTTAAGGTGTACAACTTTACCAGATACACACATATGCTATCTAATTTATAGACGTACATCAATACATGATTATTGTTTATTATAGTGTACAGTGTGTCCCAATAAATATGGGAATTGAGAGACGACTTGAATATCGTCTTTGATTTCCAATAATTGATAAATGATATAAAGTGCATCAAAAATAGATTGAGAGTCCGATGAGCTTTCCAAATTGTGGTCTACCGTCTTATTATATTTGAAATTGACGGAGATTAAACATTTGAACAGTTGTGTTTATTTTTAATAACTGGAATCTGGACAAATTTTTTCATATTTCCGTCAATTTTGAGGATGAAAAAATGGTAGACCACATTTTGGAAATCTCGAGACTAGTAGTTTTCGGTGTTAAATGTTTTAACTGTGATACTACAAAATAATGTATTCACAATAATCCCAATTGAAACAAAGGCGAGATAGAAGTCGTCATTAAATTTCCATGTATATTGGGACACCTTGTACCTTAGATTAATTGAAATAACAAATAGGACACTAGTTGTCGTCTTTTCAAAATTAATGTGAGTTTCGTTCACAATATCCCTGAGGAAGAAGTCAATAGGAGTTACGCGTAGTCGGCGTAGAACAGACTCTCTCTCTGTCTTGTAATTCTGCAGAGAGAGAGCCTTTTCTACTCGTACTACTCGTAGCTCTGTTGGGCTTCTGCCTCAGGGTTATTGTGAACGAAACATACATAAAACTTGAAAAGACGAAAACTAGTGTCCTATCTGTTATTTTAATCAATCTATTTCTTGTACATTCGTAGAAACTCTAAACTGTTCGGAGGAGTATAAGTATTCCATAGATGAATTTAAGGATACTTTATACCACATGCATTTTGTGTACACTTTTGTACTTATTTAAGGTATAACTTAAATACTGAATGCTTTTTTAAAAGATAAAATGTTTTATTTATATTCTTGGATATTCATATTTTTTCCAGTTTGGAGGATTTATCATCGATAAGTATGAATAAACAATAATGTACAAGCTGGGACCCATAAAACTTTGGAAAAGAAATACGACTGTTAGACTAAAGTGCGTCTTCGACAGATTTGTAAAAACCATTTTTTGAAATTGTTCAATGAACTTGAAAGACAGCAACTCTGCAGTGTACTGTTACACACAGGGTGTCCCAATAAACATGGGAATTGAGAGACGACTAATATATTGTCTCTGGTTTCCGATTAATGATAAATGGCATAAAATGCATCAAAAATTTATTTCAAGTCTTATAAGCTTTCCAAAATGCGGTCTACTTCTTGTATTTTTAAATTTTACGTAGATTTTATAAACATTTGATAAGTATTGTTGATTTTTGAAAAACTGTAATCTGAACAAATTTCCCAATATCTCTGTCAATTTTAGAGGTGAAAAAAATAAAGACCACATTTTGGAGTTCCCGAGACTAGTAGTTTTCGTTGTTTGATATTTTAGCTGTGATACTACAAAATCATGTTTACGAAATAACCCAGTTTGGGAAAAAACCATTTAGAAGTCGTCATTTAATTCCCAAGTTTATTGGGACACTCGTAGTAACTTAATTTTTAAGCTACTGATAAAAGTATTTGCTTTGTAACAACATCAAATACACAAACAATTCCTAAAATGTCGTCTTCCTTCTCTACAGTTTATGGGTCCCACTTTGTATAGGAATACTTCTTCCCTTGGTTCCTTGGCTAGCGGTCTACTTCCTACCAGAAACCCCAGTCTGGTTGATCAAAAAGTATTTTTTTTCTTCATAAATTCTTAGTTTTTTAAAAGGACTGTTGAGGTAATTTAGTGACCCCAGCATTTTATTATTTTCTCGGTATAATTTACTTTTGGTTTTCTGCTACACAGAGATAATGAAGAAGATTAAAGTCTTTTGGAATAAAATACTTTTTAAGCTAGTTTAAGCTAGACAAACGACGAACTCCTCCATTACTGATCTGCAGACTCATCATAAAATGGTTTAAAGGATATAAAGTATAAAAAGAAGGGTCACTAAATATCAAAACATTAGTCTCTTTTCTGAACTTATACATTGTCTTTTTCTTTTCTTAGTTTGAGGAGGTCAGAGGCAGCTGTTAACCTCGCTAAGCTAAGAGGTCTTACCATAGAGGATGTTCAAGCAGAGCTTAACAGTTTAGAGCAACCTTCAGTTCCTTCAGGTCAGGTGTTGAAAACTGAACAGTGAACACGGAACACTGAACACTGAACACTGAACATTGAACAATAAAGACAAAGCATTAAATGCTGAAAAGCAACACTGAACACTGAATACTGAACACGGAAAACTGACCACTGAACACAGAACACTGAACACTGAACACTGAACACAGAACACTGAACACTGAACACTGATAACTGAACAGTAAAACTTAATTCTGGACATGAAACATTGAAAACTGAATACTAAACACTAAACACTAAACACTGATACTGAATACTGAATAGTGAACAGGAAATACTGAACACTGAACACTGAACATTGAACACTGAAAACTGAATACTGAAAAATGAACAATAAACACTACACTGAATACGGAACACTGAACACAAAGCACTGAATACTGAACACTGAAAACAAAACAATAAACCATGAACACTTAAGATTGAACATTAAACACTTAATATTGAACACTAAACACTTAATATTGAACACTAAACACTTAATATTGAACACTAAACACTGAATAATTGAACACTAAACACTGAAAACTGAGCGCAGAACAAGGCACACTTAACGCTGAACACTGAACACTAAACACTAAACAATTGACACTAAACACTAAACACTAAACAATAAAACCTGAACACTGAACACTGAACACTGAACACTGAACACTGAACACTGAACACTGAACACTAAACACTAAACACTAAACACTAAACACTAAACACTAAACACTAAACACTGAACACTGAACACTGAACACTGAACACTGAACACTGAACACTGATACTGAACACTGAACACTGAACACTGAACACTGAACACTGAACACTGAAAACTGAGCGCAGAACAAGGCACACTTAACGCTGAACACTGAACACTATGAACACTGAACACTGAACACTGAACACTTAACACTAAACAATAAAACCTGAACACTGAACACTGAACACTGAACACTGAACACTGAACACTGAACAATGAACACTGAAGACTGAAGACTGAACACTGAACACTAAACAATAAAACCTGAACACTGAACACTGAACACTGAACGCTGAACACTGAACTTAAAAAAAAAACAATGGCAGTAACTTTAGATGACTTCCTGATTGATAAAGGTACTTTGAAACCTTTATTTAATCAGCAATGAGGAAGATATTGTCGTTTTTCTATCTGAAAACCGATTAGTAATGACAATTGTCTATTTAAATTTTTGATGAAACAAAGATTAAGATTTTGTTCTGAATCGGGAATAAAACCCAAAACATTCTAAAACATTTAATACCTTACAGTCTTAATATTAATAAAAAGATTTTAACTTTGACTTACTGATTATTTTTGTTTAGAAAGCTTTGAGAAAGAAAGTGGAAAGTCTAAATTGTCTCTGATTACAAATCGAACCAGTATCCTACCAATGTTGCTGCTAAGTAAAACTTTTTTTAATGATTACAGAAAAAAATGAAAAATATCTTATAATTCAGTTTTCCTGTTTTTTACCCAGTCCTTCAGTGGGTCGAATATGGTGAGCTACTATACAGTAACTATTTTACAGGTAACAGAACAGATTTTTTAATCACCACTGTCACTGTTCTCTTTTTCGTAGAATTTCAATATTTTTTGCAAATTTCGAAGCAATTTAGTAAAACCCACAGTTCTTTTTGCCATGGTCACCAAAAATATTGTTAAAATTTGTCATTTACAGACCTAGACACGCTTGAGCAAGAACAATGAAAACTATCAACGAAATAACAATCTTTTAGCTACAACTTTTCAAGATTCGGTGAAAAAGGGAAATATAGTTTTAAACCAATAAAACAAAAACAATTATGATTTAGATGGCCAAAATTCCAATCGATGAAAGCATTGCCTCCATCTTGGTAGCGGCTCAGTTTGTGATAGGCTACTGCTGTTCAGCTAGTCTTATCAGAAGGTTAAATATTATCTATCAATCATGCCCGCTCTGCAGTTTTTTCTTTCAAATTTGGACTTTACAATTTAGACTACCCAAAGAATATCCTATTTGCAACTTTTACCTGAGTAACAGTTCGGCAGATTGGCAGTTTTTCTATTTGATAAATTCTGATAAACCCAACCCCCCAAAAAACCCAATCAGACTAGGATTTGTCTTGGGGGGGGGGGGGCTGGTTGCTTCAAAAATTATTTCAACAGTCCCTTCAGGACTAAATAATGGGATTGGTCTTAAACTTACAACGGTAAAGGTTTATTATATCTTGTCAAATTAAACCATATTTTTAATTTAACTTTATCTATTTTAAAAGGATAAATCCTAAGTTTATGAAATAATATGAAGCCATAACTTTTAGGTTTCCTATGAGGACTCTTCTGATGTGCTCCCTCTTTATCATGGGTATGGCGAATCTAGCCACCAGTCTGGTTCTCATGAGGTTGCAATTTGTATACTGAATCCATCTTTCTCATTAGTTCCTTATTTAACAACGCTTTTCAGGGCCCGAATACTAGCCCCATTTCTATGCAAATTTTGAAATTTCGACGGTTGGTTCAAAAGCGAGCTTTTTTAGTCGAATATGTTTTTCATACTATAGATTTTTTTTAGGAATCAGAGAGATTGTTTCATGAACCTAGCATCTGCTTCCAATGGTTATCCTGCACAATTGGGCCAATCAGCTGATCAGAATTTTTCTTCCAGCCAATCAAATACAAGTCAGCTTATATTCAGCCAATCAGATAATCAGGATTTTTCTTCCAGTCAATCAAACACAAATCAGCTGGCATTCAACCAATCAGATGATCAGGATTCTTCCAGCCAATCAAACACAAATCAGCTGACATTCAACCAATCAGATGATCAGGTTTCTTCAAGCCAATCAAACACAAATCAGCTGACATTCAACCAATCAGATGATCAGGATTCTTCAAGCCAATCAAATACAAGTCAGCTGATATTCAGCAAATCAGAAAATGACAACATGTCAACAAGTCAGCAGGTCAACATCCAAACTGAAGCAGATCATGTTTACAGTTTTATTCCAGTGATATCATGCATATTTATATGCTTTGGATATGGAATTGGGCTCGGTCCCATTCCTTTCATTCTCTTCGGCGAGCTTTTCCCAAGTAAGACACAATGTCTCTTTTTTTATTTCAAACTTATTTATTTAATCTAGGTGAAGTCAGAGGCATAATGTCGTCAATAACTGCCTTTCTAAGATCCATAACAGTATTTGTATCAATTAAGGTATGTTGAAACATCCAGTGAAAAAAGTAACAATTGTTTATTTTAAAACTAAATATTTTAATTTTAGATATTTCCCATGTTTTTGCGCTACTTTGGAATCGGAGGTTCATTTTTGACTTGTTCTTTAGTTTGTTTTTCAGCCCTAGGTAAGCACATAAGAAAGGGTTTAATTCTTTTAATTTGAATTTTATTCAGAAAAAAATAATAAAAATATATTTTAGTTACAATTGAACGAATTTAAAGCTTGGCCTATTATCGATTTTCCAGGAGTTTTAAATGTTAAGAAAAGGTTTGAAATTATGCAGTGGAAAAAAAAATTCAAATTATTTTGAAAAGTATAAAACTTATATCTAAACAAGTTCAATTTTTTTTAGCCTATGCCCACCTTAGAGTACCATCTGCTTCCTCAAAAAATGTCAGCCAATTTGGTCCAGCCCTTTGACCAGCTATAGCTAACATAAATCTATATATATAAGCGAAGAGCTATACAGATAATAAAAAAACATACTTTTTCAGGAATTTCTTTTTTCACCGTACCTGAAACAAAAGGCTTGACTTCTAGTGAATTGGAAAATATTTATAAGAAGCAGAAGGTAAATATATTAGTTATGGGGACTTAAGGCATAATTTCAAGTGCCCTGTATTTCCGTCCGCCCAAACCAGAAATTCTTGTAAATATTTCTGATTTTAAAAGGCAGTTTATAACTTCCTTTTGGGATGATTTATTTCGTGAACTTACTGTCAAATGGCTTTCCTACCTTAGAACTGAATTTTTCATTACTTGTAAAATAAGGTTAAGCAGCGCACTTCTGCACATACCTTAAACCTTAAAATCATCAGTCTTCTGAAAACTTTCAGTTTTATCATCATTCTTAAAACCTCCACATGCATGCCGACATGCCCCCTGTACATGGAGATTCAATTGAAATTTAAACTATAGTCCCTTTATTTAAAAAGAATGACATTTGAAGTCACCTTCTAATTTACTTTTAGACTCCAGCGCTTCCAGAAAAGATCTCTGTATAATGACGAAAAAACTTCTCTCATGGTACAGGGTGATTCACTAATAATGAGACTTAATGTTTGGTATTTTGCAATAATTATAATATTAAGTAGTATAATATGCTAGGCTACAGGGAACCAAAGACTTAAGTAATGATTAATATTTATGTAACCGCTGAAGTCTCATCCTTGGTGGATAATATTGAAGAATGATTATTGTTAATATTTATGTAACCGCTGAAGTCTCATCCTTGGTGGATAATATCAAAGAATAATTATTGTTAATATTTATGTAACCGCTAAAGTCTCATCCTTGGTGGACAATGTTGAAGAAAAAATATTGTTCTCAATGTTGTTAAAAATTTGCTCATTATTCATAATTGATTGTGTAAAAATATTTATTCCATATACATTTATTCTAAAATTGCAGTTTTTAGGCTGTTCAAAATGTTGAATTTGTAGTTGAATGCGCAGTTTGATAAAAAAAACTGATTAACTATTGCATTTTTGCAACCAAGAAGCTCAAATAATAATCTGTTGTTAACTGTGGACATAAAATTAAACAAAAAGTTTAGGAAAATTGATTTAACATGTACAGTTTCCATGAGCTGTGTCTAATATATGTTTTTGCTGAACTAAAATGAAAAAAAAATATATTGTGAACCATTAAAAAATTGCAACCTAAACCATTTTTTTGCATAAAAATATTTATGTTGTAAACTTGTGAAAAAATTCTTATATTTTATTTACCAGTGAAAGTCAAATCTTATAAACGTATTAACAAACTAACTAGCTAGCTCAATTATATGTACACGATAATTTTTTGTATTAAAATAGTTTTTTTTCTACTAGCCGTAAGATGTTTCAGGTATACATTGTATGTAAATTTCGATTGTTTGTCTCTGTCTGTTATTAAACGACTAAACTGTTTGTGCCCAAAGTTCTGTGGCAACTCACGCGACCCCCAGGGAAGAGTTAAAATAAACGTTAGAGAAGTAGTGGAACTAGATCTGCCTAGTTTAACAACTTCTCTAGTAGTTCCACTAGATCTGCCTAGTATAACATCTTCTCCAGGAGCGGAACTAGATCTGCCTAGTTTAACAACTTCTCTAGTAGTGGAACTAGATCTGCCTAGTTCAACAACTTCTCTAGTAGCGGAACTAGATCTGCCTAGTTTAACAACTTCTCTAGTAGTGGGACTAGATCTGCCTAGTTTAACAACTTCTTTAGTAGCGGAACTAGATCTGCCTAGTTTAACAACGTCTCTAGTAGTGGAACTAGGTCTGCCTAGTTTAACAACTTCTCTAGTAGTTCCACTAGATCTGCCTAGTTTAACATCTTCTCTAGTAGTGCAACTAGATCTGTCTAGTTTAACAGCTTTTCTGCTGACAATAAGGTTAACTAGAGAAGTGGTTCAACTTAACATATTGAATTCAACTGCGTCCTGGTATAAGAAAAGCGAAGTTTTGCGAGAAAAAAAGCGAAAATTTCGAGGGGGGGGGGAATGAAACATTTTGCGAAAAAAATACGGGAGATAAATTATTAATTATGACATAATAAAACCTTTAATGCTGAGCTCTCAGCGCAGATAATAAGTTTTTTTTTGCGTAATTTATTGTTGCAGCTATGCTGTTTGCGGGTTTTTTCGCGAAATTTTGCGAAAACAATTTTAGTGAAACAAGAACAAATTTTTCGCATTTTTTCGCAAATGTTTTTGTTTACTGGAAATCCTAGCTACTTCCATTCCTGCCTAACACTGCTGGAGTAAAACTGTTTTCAAAAATTTGTTTATTTTCAAAACCTCATGCAGATTAATGTAAATGGTTGCGAAAATTAAGAAGGGAACAGAACAGTATTTTTATGTTTGATGATTAATTCTTTTTTCTTTCCCATGAGATAAGTATCCTTCTCAGGTTCCAATTATTTCTCTGCCTGTGCTGAACAGCTTAATACGATTGACATGCTATGTACCCCACACAATGATCTCACAAGAAGAAAATGATTTTGTTTATTTGGCGGACTGTCCCGTTTAGGCCTCTAGTCAATGTACATATACTGTTCGAAAATGTTACGTCTTTTGAATACGTATACATATTTGAAAAATAGGAATCGTTGCTGAAATACGTATTTTGGTTAATAACGCAGTGTACAATATACCTGCCTTAAAGTCAGCACGATATTTCCAAACAGTGGCTTGAAATAAAATATAGATTTCTTTGAAGGGCGGTTAATAATTAAGTCTCCAATTCTATACAGAACCTTTGGATTCAAATGAAAATATTAGTAATTGCTTCATAGTTAAAGTTTAGTTATCACACTTATTTTTAATTGTATAATCACTTATTTTTACATAACTACATGAAGTTTGTTTATTCACAAAATAAAAACTGATTGAAACATGAATATCAATAGAGTCTGCAAATATAAAAATTATTCTTTAGACATAAGGCAAGATTTTTGACAATTTAGCAATATATTGGTAATATCTTGAGAGGTTGGTTAGTCTGAGAAATTTAAAATGTCCAAAATTTCATTATTAGTAAAAGTTCTTGTTTATAATGTTGCACATGATGCAGAATTTACAATAATTTTACATTAAACACAGATCAGGAAGATAGCACACTGGGTTGAAGCCCAGGCGTCTAACAAGTCGGTACGTGTCAGGTTCAAGAAATGCAAAGCCGCAATGTTCAGTTAAAAATGAGCAATGGGCTTAGAGAAAGAAAATATTTGTATTTTTATGATTACTGAATAAAAGTACTTATAGAACCACTTGACCCATCGTGGAGAGCTGATATACAGACAATAATGCGAACAACTTATATGATAACCTCAAAATACACATCTTGATTGATTGCAATTATCTTGAGATATACATCAATATCAGCTGTACAGATTAGTAAATCCTGTCCGGATCAACGCTGCATACTGTCTACCTGATCTGTGACATTAAACCAGGTTATAGATGTTTAGAGAATTTCTGAATCACCGACACAAGGACAGCTAAACAAACTTGACTGCATCTCCAGCTTTAGTTTTCCTGGACTGTAGGATCTGGGATAAAGATAACCCTGAACCAGAACTCAGACCGTTTAATCCGTATCCAGTATTTACTCCAGAGTTGGAACCACTGCTAGAGATGGGTACTATTGTCAATCCTGCAGCGGACCCTGATGTCCCTGAATAACTAATTGGGACATTTACCAGTCCTGAGTTAGATCCCGATGATCCTCCGTTAAAATTGGATCCTGAACTGTAACCGCTGGATCCAGTGTTAAATCCAGTTGATCCTGAGTTGAAACTTGATGTCCCCGGGATATAGCTAGATGAACCTGAGTTGAAACTTGATGTCCCCGGGGTATAGCTAGATGAACCTGAGTTGAAACTTGATGTCCCAGGAGTATAGCTAGATGAACCTGAGCTATAGCTGGATCCTAGGTTAGATGATGAGCCAGAGCTATACCCTGGAGAGCCGGTGTTGATCCAAACAGAATTAGAAACCGGTGTCCCAAAATTATAACCAGAAGATCCAGAATTGTACCCAGAAGAACCAGAATTGTATCCGGAAGAACCAGAATTGAATCCGGAAGAACCAGAATTGTATCCGGAAGATCCAGAATTGTATCCTGAAGATCCAGAATTGTATCCAGAAGACCCAGAGTTGTATCCAGAAGACCCAGAGTTGTATCCAGAAGACCCAGAGTTGTATCCAGAAGACCCAGAGTTGTATCCAGCAGACCCAGAGTTGTATCCAGAAGACCCAGAATTGTATCCAGAAGAACCAGAATTGTATCCAGAAGAACCAGAATTGTATCCAGAAGACCCAGAGTTGTATCCAGAAGACCCAGAGTTGTATCCAGCAGACCCAGAGTTGTATCCAGAAGAACCAGAATTGTATCCAGAAGAACCAGAATTGTATCCAGAAGAACCAGAATTATATCCGGAAGGTCCAGAATTTACCCAAATAGAATTGGCTGATCCTGAATTTGCAGAGTTAAGTCCACTACCGTAACCTCCTCCGCCGTTGCATTGATAGCTTCCAATCTCAGGGGTAGCACATGCTTCATAGGACCAGTACTGGGAGAATCTTTCAGACTTCTGAAGATCTTTACATCTAAAACAATACGCAATATTTAGTTTATTTTATCTTTTATTAAAGTGATTGTAAAGGAAATCTGGAAGGGGTATAGGCTGAAAATAGCATTTTATGAGTTGATCTAGGCGGCCGCCTAAGAGTTATATCTAATGTTCCTGTCTCTAGAAATTGATATAAAACTGTGTCAAAATTATACCAAAACTCATATATATTTGAGATTTGGCATAATTTATTCCAAGTTTTAAACATATTATATTCAGAAAATACGCAACCAATCTGAAAACGACGATAACCGAGAAGAACCTGAAAAACTCAGGTTTGTTAATTTTATAATTTGACTTTAATCGTTTTTCATTATTAATAGATAAACTTGATCTAATATAATTGATACGTATGTATCACATGATCAGAACTTCAACCAATGGCAGCGCAGTATCAGTATCACGTGATACATACGGAGACACTTGAAAATGTGCTGGTCCACTTTATAGTAATTCAGCATTGATTGAACTAAACCTTTTGGTGCCTACCCACTGAAGCGGGTTCTAAATTTGCATAATTCAATCAAAAATATAAATTGGCAGAGTGGAGAAACTGTGTTTGACCCATATTTACTCCATTAAAAAGTATCCAGTTGAGGTTTTAATCTCTAAATCGCCTCAATTAAGAAATCTTCTTGCAATTTAATAAACTTAAAAATGGAGTTCAATTAATCATATCTATTTTAACATTTTCAAATTTTTTAAAAACCTCTTTAGCACCTTTTCCCGTGGGGGGAGGGGAGCAGGGAGCCTGGGACACCCTTATTATTAATGGTTAAGAAATCTTACCCCGCGTATTGTGGATTAACATAGCACCAAACAGCCCCGGTGTTATCGGACCTGTAAATAATCGAAAGAATAATTATGATTCTAAAATTTTTTATCTTTAAAATTTTTTTTTAATGAGAATACCGTGGAGAATACCTTAACTATTATTTAGTTTTGGGCTTTCTCTGAACAGCTTTCAGAATAAGAATTTTTTATTTTGTTTAACCTTTTAAGCACTCTAACCTTGTGTTCTGTAATTCTTTTCTTTTCTATTGGATAATATTAAATTTGGTAAAACCAGAGGAATTTTGTCTTTGCAAACCTTTGATATTTCAAACCTTCATTATTATTTCATTTAACAGAATACATAGTTTAAAATATCTAAGGTTTACGACATTGGGTTGCAAAGATATGATGATTAGAAATCAGGGTTTCAATATTTCGAAAACAATGAAATATTTCTTCCAGCAGTGTGATGTGAAACATATAGCAATGAGATTGCATGAATAGAATGGTTGGGATACTACAAGGTGTCCCAATAAACATGGGAATTCAGTGACGAATTCGATATTGTCTTTTTAAATAATTCTTTGATTTAGTATAGTGATACCTACTGAGAAAGCTGTAAGAGTTTCGTCTGTTATGTCACATTTTGTTTGTTTATGTTTTGACTGCATACGGTTGTACTTAGTAAAACATGAAATTGCAGTATACAAACAGAGTAAACTTGTCCGTCTTCGCTGTTCATCTTGCGGAGACCTTACAGACACCTCTTTTTAGTCTTTTACCCTTTTCATAAAATAAAGTCTAGCAGACATAACAATATTATGACTTTTGAAATTAGGTATTACAATGCTAATTATTAACAAAGACGATATCGAAATCGTCACTGAATTCCCATGTTTTTTGGGACACCCTGTATTTTACGCGTGATATTTACAAGAATTAAAATCTAGATAATTCTGGCATTCCATTACTCATGATTAACACGTTTGGAATATGCGAGAGCTTGCACTGGTATCTTTTCTACGAGCAGAACATGTGAAAAAACTACAAGAATTGAACTATAGAATTATCTCAAATATATTACACNTTGGTATATGGGATGGTTGGAAGGATGGATGGTATTTAAAAATTGTATGGTAGAAGGGTTGGAAGGATTTGGTGAAAGGATGGTTGGAAGGATGAATGGTATTTAAGAATTGTATGGTAGAAGGGTTGGAAGGAATTCTTGGTATATGGGATGGTTGGAAGGATGAATGGTATTTAAGAATTGTATGGTAGAAGGGTTGGAAGGAATTCTTGGTATATGGGATGGTTGGAAGGATGAATGGTATTTAAGAATTGTATGGTAGAAGGGTTGGAAGGAATTGATTTTAGGATGGTTTGATGGTTGGTTAAGAACTGCTTTACTCTAGTTTCACCTGCTGTTACTAATACATATATATATATATAAATATCGCGGGACTTAGCTCCGGGATTCCCAGGGAGATTAAAGGGTCTTTTCACTTTTGTTATTTAATAGATTAAAGGGTCTGTTCACTTTTTTCATTTCGGGGATTACAGGGTTTCTTTGTTTTATTTTTATTTCGAAGATTTAAGGGTCTGTTCTCTTTTTTTATTTAGGAGATTAAAAGCTCTGTTCAATTTTTAATTTAGGAGATTAAATGGTCATTTCACTTTTTCATTTAAGAGATTAAAGGGTCTCCTCACTTTTTCGTTTAGGAGATTAAAGGGTATGTTCACTTTTTCATTTTGGAGACTAAAGGGACTGTTCACTTTTTCAATTAGGAGATTAAAGGGTCTGTTAATTATTTCACTTAGTAGATTAAAGGGTCTGTTCACTTTTTCATGTAGAAAATGAAAGGGGCTATTCACTTTTTCATTAAGGAGGTTGAAAGGCCTGTTCACTTTTTATATAGGAGATTAAAGGGTCTGTTCACTTTTTCATTTAGGAGGTTGAAAGGCCTGTTCACTTTTTATATAGGAGATGAAAGGGTCTGTTCACTTTTTTATTTAGAAGATTAAAGTGTTTGTTCACTTTTTTATTAAGGAGATTAATGTGTTTGTTCACTTTTTTATTTAGGAGACTAAAGGGTCTCTTCACTTTTTCATTTAGAAGATTAAAGTTTCTGTTAACTTTTTTATTTAGAAGATTAAAAAAGAAGATATTAATGGACCCTCCCACCATACGTGCACACTGCACTTTCACATGCCTCAACCTATAATTTTTTAATTCCTTTATCTCTGCAACTTGATGGTTTAAACCTTTGATATTTCAAGCATTGACCTCTTTATTAGATCTATCAGAATTCATAGCTTGAAATGTCATTTCACTTCAGCTTAACCCCACTTACAAGAGAAGTGGTTCAACTAAGTTTCATGCGGATCAGTTTAGCTTAGTTCTCTTGCATTTCATGTCGCCATTCTTTCAGTTTATTCACCAAATAAATTTGCAAATTTTCTGTTTAATTGGTGCATTTTCAAAATTAATAAGTGCTGACATTTTTTCAGGGGAAAATATTTCGAATTTGACGGTCCCGTCCATAAACTTCCCCCAAAACAATAAAAAAAGCTTGGACTTGATTGGTTCAGCCGTTTAGACGCTTATTGAATATAGGAAACAGACAAACCAAATTTATAGATAGATGATGGCGAGCAGTCTCTTCCCTTTGGAAAATATATATTCTCTGATGAATGTCCAACATGAAACACAGTGTCCAGCAATAACCTATCTAAATAAACCATAGAAAATTTTTACGAAAATATTTTCTAATTTCTGTTCTAAAGATTACAAAGCTATTGCATATTTCCCCCCAACCTTTGTTACGATTTAGTGCATTAAAAAAATTGATTTAATGACGTTCTAAAGTAAAATTTGTCAAAATACTTTTTTATTTTTATTAATTAAACCCTCTTTTATAAACAGTGTAAATATTTTAGAAGAAAAAAATGTGTTAAAAAATCAAAATTCCCATAAGCACACAAATTGCACACAAATCCAGGGTTAGCAACAAAAAACTGAATTTGAAGAAAACAAATAAAAAATGTATATAAAATTACCAACCCATTTTTGCTACTCATCTTCACTTTTTATCAACAACTCCATATAGATCTTGCTCTAGTTTACATGCTTGGTCGACTTTACACTGGGTAGACTAGACTGGCCGGTACATAAATAGACTACACTACACTAGACCGGTTTATCCTTGAACTGGTTCGGATCATGCAATGATTAGAGCCACATGATATTCCAGTTCCAAGAGGTTTTGTGGATCTCCCCCCACCCCCT